CACACACACACACACACACACACACACACACACACACACACACACACACACACACAATGGAGTATGATTCACAGGGTCTAATATCAGATTTCATCAGGGGATATGAAACTCCTCATTACTCACTAGCTTGTGTAATCTTACATCACTGCCCTCTCTGCTGTAACCCCTCGTGCCAAACACAGCCGGTCCATTGACCATGCTGGCAGAGCCCATTTCATTGTTTACTCTAGAATTAGACCAATCAAGCTCACATGCTGAAAGTCGTCAACAAACGGCCTCAGACTTGTTTTTACTAAAAGTGTAACCATAAAAAATCTGAACGTAAACACTGGATTCCTCATTATTCCCTCCCACTCTTACGCTGCCATCACTGCAGGGCTTGAGCTCCTTCCAGAAGGTCTTTATCTGGCCCAGTTCCACCTTGTTGAGAGGGATCGACACCTCTCCGATGGGGTCGTTCCTGCTGAAGCGATCATAGTCCAACACCTGAAGGTAGAGAGTGCGCTCTCTCACCTTCTCATACGGGAAGCCTAGAAACAGAGACAGAAACAGAGCGAGCATCGAGGGGTGAGTTACACAGATGAAAAACCTCATTCTCGACAGAACAAAGCGAACAGTGTAATCTGCACCGTGCTAACTGGGATGAATTTGGCAAAGGCCAAAGTGCATTTCAAAAACTGGAGGATGAGCCAGTGTTCTCTCTGATGACTGAGAGGGATCGTCACACTCCAGCCGAAAAAACCCATCACACTCATTTTTCAAGAGCGCTGGCTATTGTTCTACTTTTGGAGAGAGTCTGAGCCTTTTGAACATTATTTAGGTTAATTTACCATTGAGCTGTCATCCAAGCACAATGGTCATCGTGCTACTATAGACCTTCATTGTATACTTTTTTGTCATTGATGGGACTAAACAAACATATTTTCTTTTTAGTGAATAAACCAGAGTTAGATGAAAAGATCAATACCACTCTAATATCTGTTTGTTAAATATAATACTACACCAGAAAGGTGGTTAGCCTAGCTTAGCAGAAAGACTATGCAGTTTTGATGTTGACAAACAAGACATAGCCTGGTAGTTATTGAGCTTTAGAGATGCTGGTAGAGTTTGTTACCTGTGAACATAGCAGCCAGAATGTTTCCTCCTTTCAAATCTTTATTTCAAAAGGAGAAGCTCATCGTTGCAGCTTCATGATGATTTAAAATTTTCCAAAAATCTCAACTCTTGCTTGAAACCACTAGTTGTCGAAACAAAGCAGCAACCTGTTTTCTCATTTAGCTTATTTCAATGAGCTATGGTCAAAAATGAACAGAAAAATGTTCCTAATTATCTGCCAAAGAGTGAAGAGTTGTGGTTATTTTACATTAGAGATTTTTATTTTTGTTCACACTAGTCCACTGGTTTGAAGATAAAATCTGATGAAAGGATACCCACTGTCCTGAAGTAGCAGCTTATCAGCTTTTCATTGCTAAACTGTTGAATAATAACTACTTTTTGAGCTAAGTGTTAGTGGTCTAGTGATCTGTAGGCGACGGACAGAAGCAAGAAGCTTTCTGGTTTACATTTCTAGTTTGACCAATCACGTTTGAGCAGGCTGTGGTTGCCACAGTCCATGAGGAGAGCAAAAGATGCAGACCACATTGAACAGAATGCATCAGCTATCTACTTCCTAATTTATCTGCATTCATATGCAGATGGTTGGAAACTACTCAGACTTTAAATGATGAAGGACAGAAGCTTGGCCCAGAAATCTGCTGTCTACACCAGAAACACCAAAATATTAGCCAAGAGGCTAATTTATCATCAGAAGATTGTCAAGGCACTCTGAGGTGGGTGATATAGTTCTGAATATTTAATGTCATTGGGATATGCTTAGGATTTGAGAACTTTCCAAGGGTTTTGAAGGGATGAAAAGTGGAACCTTATTTTTGGGCGGCATGAGAAAACATGATGGAAATAATTGCAACAATTCTTTGGTTAAGTAGCACAGACCTTCAAAAAGGAAGGTTTCGTTCCAGTGGGGGTTGAGGTTTTTCCTCTTGACCTTGGTTTCCAGCTTGTGCTTCTTGTCAGGCAGCAGGTAGATCTTGACGAAGGGGTCAGAGGTGCCAGAGAAGTCTTTGGCCGGGAGGTCCTGGCCCCTGAGCACTTTGACAGTGAGAGTCGTGTTCTGGAAGCTGTAACCTATGCTGAACTGGATCCGGCCCAGCTTCTCACTGATGGGCCCTTCACCGTCATCATCCTCCGAACCTGGGGACAACTACAAGGGGCCACAAATGCAGTCAAGTAAGCACCCATTCCTGCAATAGCAGCAGCAACTCAAAGAAAAAAGTTCAATCCAAGGGCATACATATTTGGTCACGCAAGTATTTGACAGAGAGAAATTTTAAGGGGAGGAGATTTTAGAGCCGCCTCTCTGTCACAGCACATTCATGCAGCTGCTCGATGGTAGAATCTGGTCTGACGTTAAGAAGACAGAGACTTTAATTTTCCTACTAATGTTCTTAAAAGGCAGGAGATTCTCAGATTAGAGATAGCGGGAGCTTTAGACCACCTATTCTCTCTCACAGCCACTCTGACAGCTTTATCACTGCTGTATACTAAAAGGCCACTATCTGATAGAACACAGGGGACAGACAGAGGTAGAGAGCGAGCAAGAGACAATCAGAAAGAGCAGGAGAGAGAGAAAAGAACGTCCAGCTCAAGGTTGCCTCTCTGCTCTTGCAGTTGCGTTTGTGGTAGTTTCATTTTTGCGTGTGGCTACACCTTGTCTGTCTGTCCTTTATTTGTTTCTGTCACTCTGACAGTAGCTTACATCAGTGCAAAGCGTTTGAGGACTCTGAGAGAGATTAGACAACCAGTTCATTAGACCACTTGTGTGTGAAAGCCTCCACTGACAATAGCCTGCAAAGTGGTTTCCATGTAAATGCTCTCTACCTAAAATAACAGATTTCACTGCCTCAACCAGAGCTGCAATTTAAAAAGGAGACTCACTCACTCTGAGTTTGTCAATATGAGTTTTAGAAGTGACAGGCAGCGCAAGTGTGAAATATACCAAGTCTCATTTATCAAACAGTGTGAGTCACCTTGGATGGTTTGTCTCGTTGATTGTCACTGCCTGTGTGGGTTTTTTTCTATTGCAGCTCTGTTGTTACCGTGTGCAGCTGTAAATCCACATGTGCGTGGACCTAGAATTACCTCTAGTACCATTTGTTCAAATATCTGATCATGGAATATTTCATTCCAGAACCATCAATTTGATTCTTTCTCACTCCTCCTGTAACTTCTTTCAACAACCTTTTGGACTGAAAGAATAAGTTACCTGCGCTAAGGAGGTTATATTTTAATTTTCTCTGTCATGTTATCAGGATTACATAATAACTACTGGACAGATTACCACAAAAAGTGGTGGAAGGATATTGTATTGGTCAGGGAAAACCCAATTGAATTTTAGTGCTGATCTGAATAAATCCAGGAATTTCGTTTCTGCCGCATTTCCCGCAGACTTCATTATGTCTATGGCGCATGAATAATGCACTCACGAGCGAGAGATTCTGTGAGACAGAATAAAGAGTTAAACAGAAATTCTTGAATGAGAGAGAGAACTGTATATTATGCCACTTGCGGGTACTCCACACAACTGCAGCTGAAACTATGAAGTACGACTGCGTGGATGGTAACAACGTTATGGACAATAGCGCGAAGGAGCAGTGAGCAAGCAGCAAATAGTGCTGCAAAACACTAAGTTAAATATCTCTTATGTTATCATGAGAAGTGTAAAAGAAATTATTTCAATATAAACTTTGGCAGGACAAATTAGACTATGGTGGGCCGACACGAGGATTAATGGGAAAATCAGCTTTGATATGGCGAGATGGGGCATTAGCCTTGGCCGAGATAGCGTCCTTTTAGCTTTCAGTGGTTTTGAAGTGGGATTCAGACAAGAGATTAAAAATCTAAATATCTTGGCCTCTGTTGGCTGTTAATGTGTCTCATCAAGAAGTTCTCCAAAGTTATGGAAGAGCAATACTGTGTCCCTTTAACATTTCTGTTCAAGGCTATATTCTGTATTTGTCATTTTGTCAACAAATCCGATGACATATTTAAAACTGAGTTGAGCCAACTGAAAAATATTGTCTGTAAAGGTAAAGGTGATATGTGTGATAAACAGAAATGAGCTATGTTGTTGTGATGGTTGACATTTTCCTTCAATAGAAATTTTGGTTTTCAGTTAATCCCACAAACAGTGGTGGTGCCATAATTACCAAGTTGTGTGTATTCATCTACAACCACAAATGCACTATTTGCTTGTGTCTTGGATGCCTTATCCTGTGTGTGAGAATCTGGGCTGTTATGTCATCAGCATTTGTGACAGGGGGGCTATCGTGTGGTGGGACAGAGGCTCTTACCATCACCATATCTCCGGTGAGAGAATTGGCCAGGTCAGTTACGGAGGAGTGACCGTCAGCATCAGGGGGTTGGCCTTTGGGGCTGTTAGCTGGTTTGTTGCCCCTGTAAAGAAAAAGCACAGTTTGACCTGGGGGGGAAAACAGCGAGGACATGTGCTGAGAAGCTAACTTCGTATCCAGAGAGAGAGAATGTCTGAGCACACAGGGAGTCCAACCTCCACCTTTTTCGTCGCTTGAAAAACCGCCTATCTGAAACCACCAATTTGAATCCAAGTTTTCTTTGGATAGATGTCACTTCAGAGTGGATTGTGCTTTCTCTGGCTATTGTGAGCGAGGCCAAATAAATCTGCCAAAGATTCTGCAGATTAACGGCGGGCGCTAGAACTGAGGACATTTGATACGAAGAGTTACATTGGATGAAACCTGGAATCTGAGATGACTATACATATGTTCAGTGTGGCAAACATCCATATCTCCAACAGGAAAGTTACCTCCACCAAGTGAACAAACACAATTTGAGACAGAACACAACACAGACCCACTAAATTTAAAATTGATAGAAATCAATGAATTATTCCTGATCCCCGTGGAGTTTATGATCAAGCCTTAGTCCCTCTGAAGACATTAACGAGACAAACACATATAATGACATGTATAGCAACATGACGTTACTATATACACATAGACAGACATGTATAGCAACATGTAGAGAACTAGACTTTCAACAGGACAGATGCTGAACAGTTTTGTAAAGTGTTTGTGCGTTTAAATCTCTCAGTTATTAACTTTGAACATCAACAACACAAAACATAAAGGAGAGGGCAGAGATCTCCCTTGGCACAGCTGGTACTTAGGTACAAATGTTAATAGATGTTAAGATAAGTTCCTTCACATGAGGATTGTTGAAAACAACAAACGTTAAAGTGGGACAAACAGTTTAGGGAGAAAAAACCTCTATGTTCATACATCATGAAAACAAGAATAATCACAAAATAAAAAATAAAATCAGCCAAATAAGATTTTAAAAAAATTAAATCGAGTAAATATTATGAGATTAAAGAAATCATGAGGAAAGATAGAACAAGAGAGAGTCAAATGCAAATGTCCAGGCCAATGTAATGTGACACATTGGACACACAGCACTCCATAGATGACTGGTCAAGGCACATGGAGAGGCTGAACACTGAAACACCATTAGGCAATAAACAAACAGTAAGAAGAGAAGAAACAACAAGAACAGAAACACAGAGGAGGAGAAAAGAAATGAGCAGATGCTGAAGAGAGAGAGAGGATGCACAAACTGGACAGAAATCATAAAGACTGTCGATAAGATAGAAAGGTTCAACGAGGAATGTAATATATAGAAAAGCAAGCAGAGAATTGTTTATCTGTATTAGAAGAAGATAGCAAGTATTAATAGCATGAACAGTGAGGTTACGGAAAAAAACTAAAAACCCAAAACAGACTGAGATCGTTACAAACACCAGCACATTAGAGAGAGAGAAAAAACAGAGCTGCAAGAAAAGATAGGGAATGAAGGCAGCCTGGAAACACAAGAGAGGCTTAGTTTGGTCAGTCTGATAAGTATCAAAAATAAGAGACAAAAAAGTAAAGAGCTATGCACACACAATATCTCTAACAGGAGACAAAGGGGTGGACATGCTAAAGGGAGAAAAAGAGCACCACAGAAAGGAAAAGAAAAAAACGACAATAAATACAATTGATCACAAGGAGAAAGAAGAACAAGAACCGATGTTCTTTAAGTGGAGAGTTTAAAGTAAATGATAGATGAGAGAGAATGAAAGAGAAATAAAGTGTAGATATCCCATACAAGAATATATATCATCGAAAGCACAAAAAATTTACAAATAGTAAGAACATAGGAAATGCACATTTAGAGTGTTACAAATGAGGACGTTGTTGAATAGAGGTGACAACTACCTGAAATTTAAGTAAATAAAGGGATTCTCCAAACATTTAGTAACACTCTAAAGGTGTGAACTGGGGACACAGGGGCCAAAGCACAAACGGGCATTGGCTACATGTGCATATATAGTATATGCAAGTAGTTGTCACTCAAGAGAGTGAGGCAATGCCTGGGACTGGCCGAAAAACAAGGAGCCCATAGAACGTCTGTCTGTCTGGCCAGCATTCTCTGTTGACCTCTTCACTGAGAGACTGTTTTTTTTTTTTTTTTTTTTTTTTTTTTTAAACAGCAAATTTGGGTGAAAATTGATGTTGAATGTATTAATGTGTACATTTTTTACTGCGGAAGACAAGGACAGAACCAGGGGGAAAATATACTGACAAGTAGACAGACAGAAAAAGCAAGCAAACAAGACAAGCAAATAGACAGATCACTTCAACCAGCAAAGGAACTGGGGCGAGACGGGTGGGGAGGGAAGGAGGGACGTTAACCATTTCGAGAAGGGGGGGCGTTCATCAATTGGTGTTAGTCGTATTAGTTGCCAGGGGAGGTAAATGCATTTTCAGGGGGCCTGTTTGTTTCTTGCACAGACTATAAAACTGCAGGCAACAAGTCTGAGAGGAGAAGGAACAGACGTGGGTATAAACACACTAACCTGAGAGCTGAGGACGAGCGCTAAAGCTCGGAGAGAGACTCAGGGTTTGAAGTAAAGCATGGCACCTCCCTCCTCCTCCTCCACCTCCCAACTATCGATGGGGGAGTGAGCGTCTTCAATTATTCATTCTCCTTCATGCTTCATTCAGGGGGTTCAGTGCATTCTCAGGTAAGAGCTAGTGCAGCCGGGGGGGAATGGCCGTTATACCAGCACCTGATGTGGTCCGCTGCTCCGATGTTGCCTCCAGGCTATTTAAACACAGCGACTGGCGGCTGCAGATTTGTTACAGAAAAATAAGCCACTGTACTGTACTGTACATCATGAATTGCATGTGAAGATTGTTTCAATTTACTTAATTTCTATTAAAAAGTCATATTAATTGTGGCAGACGGTAAAACTACAACTGCTAGATTCTGGTGCCAATGCTTTTTCTGTCCGACACTTTGGGAGAGGGGGAGTTGATATGGAAATTGGTGCTTTTGAGCCTGCAGTTGTCTACAGTGTCCAGTGGGAGGCAGAATGGACTCGAGTTCAGATTCTCCCACAGCTAAGGCACAGAAAGTGGGCTGTTGGCATGGCAACGGCTCCAGAAACACAGTCCATACATATGGGGGGTTTGGGGGTGTTGTTGTGACAGGAGGTTGTTGGTAGTGGGCGCAGGGGAAGGGTGTGTTTGGAAAGGGGGGTGGGCGGTGCAGCAAACAGGCAAACACTGAGAACGAAGAAGATAAGGTTTTTTAGGATATATGACAGGTACGGGTGAGAGCCTCGCAGACACACACATTCACATGAACAGACATATGGAGGCAGGCGGGGCCACGTTGGGTTTCACCGTCCTGTGATACTATCCTGTTTGGTTACCTGACCGAGGGCCAGCAGCTCGAAGAGAGGGGAGGGGGGGGGAAAGACACTCCACTTCTAGGCTGGAGAGAGACGCGAGAAAGAGAGCCCAACCCAGCCCCAGCTTTTTTCTTTTTTTTTTTTCTTCAAACACTCAGACTCCCCACCCCTCCGCAAACATGTCACACTCACACAAACACGCTCGCCTGAGACCATGAAGTGATGAATTTCAATGTCTGTGCTCAATTTCATAGCTGCCCACTACATCTATCACTCTTTGGGGGCCACAGCATTATTTCCCAGGATCGCACAGCAGCACTGTGCTACGCCGCTTACATAACTTCCACATCCACATGAAACACATGTATGTTCGTAGTGGAAATCGACTGCTCGTTCCAAGCGTGCTGCTTCACTTCACGGGACACGACCGAAAAACGCTGCTGTTGCTTCTGCATGTAAATTTGGAGGCTTTCACTGTTAACAAATGACTTCCATCATTCTGAAACTGGAAATGTTTTTAAAATAGCATTGTTTATTGAAATCCCATTTCAGGAAGAAACAACAAGGGAGGTGCTAAATTCTGCCTTCTGCGTGTCTGCTCATCTCACTGAACCCTACAGGAAAATAGAAAACATTCAATCAGAGCCACACGTTGATCTTTACTGTTTTACTATTTTATCACAATTAGAAGCATATATATATATATTCAAAATATATATATTCATACATTACGTTTGAATCCGAGGATGAGTATCATGTTTGGAGCCGTACCTCCCTTCATTGGCCATTTAGCATTCATGCCTCTGAGCTCAACGACAGCAACAAACCTATCAGTTCAGGGAATTTCCGCCACATGAAAGCATCCAACATTATAAAAGTGCATTAAAATGCTGAACACTCGTCAACCTAAATGTTTTGAATCTTGATTAAATTCAAAGATTGCGTCTGAGCTGGGGGGTGATGCTGCTGCAGATGTGCCACCTGTTCAGAGGAAGCACACAGGAGTCCCAGGTTAATGCTGCTAATAGCTCCCCCCCCCCCACATCTATCTGGATTCATGAGATGAGCACGTGTAGCAGCATGTACCTGCTGGCTAGAGAGAGCTGCCTTCAGCCCTGCACAACACACGGATGTGCAGAGTACAATAAGTACTCCCTCCCACCACTCTCATGGAGGGAAGATGGATTTGCACTCTGAAATTTCTCTCATCCTCCCCTGACATATGGATAGATAGATGGATGTTTGAATGCACTCCGCTCTTCCTCCTCGCTTTGTGGCTCCTTTTTTCCCCACCATAGAGCTATCTACTCTCCCCCGCTGCATCTCAGCATTCCCCCTGTGATGTCAGGATGAGCACGGTGGCCACAGGGAGCCAAAGCCTCAGGGGCAGACTTAACCAGAGCCCCCCGACGACTGGGCTGATTAGTCGGGCCTGCAAAGCCCCTGTCACAGGAGGAGCAGACTTTCAGAGCGTAGCATAATCAATTTACATGTTTATGTCCAAACACACATACAGATGATATCATCTGGAAGCATCGGAGCTGCTGCTTTGATTCCATTATCGGAGGCTGAAACAATGGTCACTTCAAACTGTTAAAGCGCTCATGTGACCTCAGAATGACCTGACGTTTCATTGGCCTAAAAACACCATCCTTCACAGCATTAAGATTGAACTCCTCCCACTCAGACTAATGTGGTTATAGAGCACAAACACACTGTGGCAATGTTAAATAAAAACACATTTATATTGATTTAGGTCAAAACAGCCATTTGTCTTTGCCTTTTCATATCACGTTATGAAATGTAATAAGCTCATAAATTATTAGGCGAGTTATATAGCCCACGTGGCAATTAACAGACACTGAAAAGACGCTCAGAACGCAGCACGTCTCTGAGGCAGGGAAACATACATCTATATCTATTAATATCTGCAAGATGTATTCAGAGACAAGACGCAGCTCCACTGGCTTACACAAAATGATGCAACATGCATGGATGAATAATTGAAAGACCAAAGGCAAGTGGATTTAATGCTAAAGTGGCACAAAGATACGCCCCGCCTCCTCTGTCATCAACATCCATCCTCATTGGACGCTCGGCTTGCTGCTCAGGGATGGATCTAGATTCAAAGCTCTCGGGAATTGTTGCTTCTCTTTATAGCAACACTGGAGGAGAACCGTCAGTATAGGTTCAGTGAATCGCATCGGAATTGTATGAGTGAAGACCAATGAGGCATTAACAAGCCACTCTTGACATCCTAATTAAGCTTTCTGAGCTCCGCAACCTATCGATGCCTGGGATATAAACATGTCAGCATGTGTGGCCCCCAGAATCAAACAACGCATGGTTTATGAATCCAGTCGTTTTCCTCAGCTATTTGACTGAGCGACCTTCCTTTCCTCTGTCTCCTCAGCACGTGTGTAACCTCGGATTAAAAGTCTCCATCACCACCAACTCTGGTGCAGTTCAAACAGATTGTCAGCCTGCCTGACTTCATAAACAAATGGGCACACAGAACGCTTTCATCCAGCGATCTCACACGCACACACAAGGTCGCTGAAGGAGTGTGCTGAATGCCACACATTATAACACCTTCTCATGACCAGTGGGGATAAGAGTGTGTTTGTTTGGCTTGCCTTCAACTATGGCCGAGCAACAATGAAGCATAAACACTCAGCCGGAGGGAAAATGAAAGCTTCTCTGTTGTTATTTGTGCCTACATGCTGTTTTGCATCGCTCTTTCCAGAGGATGTGGAGGAAGCACTCTGATCTTCTGCTTAAGTAAAAATACCAATCGTAACAGAAAACATGATAAATTATCAGCGACATTATTGAATGATTTTAAACTGTTTAAATTAAGCTCATCAATGTGTAGGAAGCATTTAAATGTTGTTACTGATCTAAGTGGAGCTAGTTTAACTACTTTTATTCTGTGGATCCAAACTCTGGAGTTGGGCCCCTAAAGCTCCAAAGGCTCTTGAGATGAATCTGAGCTCTTGTGAGAGGATTACTGGAAAAGACATTTCCACTGAACAAATTTGAATTCCTAATAAATCATTATAACTTTCACCAGGGCGGTTTTAATCCCTGTCTGTTTGTGGTTTGTTTATTTGTAAGCAAGAATACACAAAAAATACTGAATGAATTACCACAAATCTTGGTTGAAGGATGTAGTTTGGGTACAAGAAGAATATTTTTTTCACTTTCTTTAACATTGTTTTTCATCATTTTCATTGATTTCTCAGAGAATAATTCCTTTCATTCAATCTTGATGAAAAAAAGAAAGTCAGGCATGTTTATTGAGTGCCATTCTAGTTTTCCAAATTATTTTGTAAATTTAAAATGTGGATAATTCTGCCTAATGTCTGTGAAGATTATAGGGTACATTTCTCTTTGGTGGAAATGGTCATATTATACATTGTTTACAATAGAGGGGCTTCTGATGAAACAGCTGCAAATCATTGGTTTAAACTTTAATAATATATTTTAGAAGTGAATCTATGTTTTCTAAGGCAATATCTCTACCTTCTCTCTGTTTCCCTGCACTGGCTATTGCACCACTAGAAAGCAGAGATTTGAAGTTAGCGCTGACGATGTTAACGTCTGAGAGTCTCATGAACCAGCAACATTAACTTCAGTGGCTTCGGATTGGCTAAAATAATTTGCCAGTGACATGTTGTGCTTGCAGCTCAGTTAGGTTTATATGAATTCAAAGGGTGTAACATGAGTGATGCAGGTATAGAGATGACTGATGGGCACATAAAAGACATGTTTGATGTATATGCACAGACGGCGGTGATATGACTATACACAGAGGGGCGTGGGGAGCAGGAGGTGAATGGCAGAATGGCAGAATAGCTTTGTCTGCGGCGCGGCGCAGGCTCGAGAGCCCCCGTTCAGAATGAGCAATATGCCAAGAGCGTGATTGATTAAATCATGGTCAGACATCTGTGAAGTCAGCACTAACACCACAGGGAATGATATTCTCCCGGCAAGCTTATACACCTTGCATTTTGAATACACTGCGGACTTATAATGCTTGTTTGAGTCGCTAAATATAGCACTCAATTAAAGTGTGGCTAAATCATTCCATTATATATTTGAATTTGTAATTTATCATGAAACAAACAAAGCACCACGCTGCTCAAGTGGAATTAGTTTAAAGCTCAGCAGAGGGACGGACAGGAGCGCACTAAAGGCCACAGACATTTAGAGCTTTCATTAGAGTCAAATCATTTATTTTCTCTGCTCCCCACTTCTCTGTTGTTCACAGACTGTAAACTGCCACTCATTCTGTTTTGACTGAACCAAATGAAATGAACCCCAGGTTAATCTAAAAAACACAACAGTCGACTCAATCACTGTTAATTGAGGTGAGTCCTGCTGGCCGAGTGCTGCACCGAGCAGCCTAAGGCCCCCCCCCCCCGCCCCTCGCCGTTTCATCTAAAAGGAGGTTTCCAGGTGAACACAAATTCTGCATAAGCCAAAAAAAAATTCCACTCCTCTGTGGCTCTACAGCTTTCACGCTCATTTTTAACAATAGGGGCAGTTTTGATGTTCACAAAAGCGACATTAATACTCAAAGAATACTTTCATGCTTGTTTGTAACGCCATGCAGGAAAAGGCCACAGGATGCTCAGGGCTAAGAGACTAAAACGAGGCAGAGGAACTGAATATCTATCCAAAGTTGTTAACGTAGCATCGCTTTGAAGACTTTACACTAACTAAAGGTGCTTACTAGTTCACAGATGACAATTACTATCATGCTGAGGACCCTGTCAATGTCTCCAGCCGTGCATGTGCACCTCCATCCTGCAGCTGTGCACATCCCACTCACCACCTGCACTGTAACCGTCCCATATTCACATGTGTCAAATTGATGAAACACTAGCGACTAAGGAATAATTGGTGTGACAAATAAATCAGGATTTACTCACTCTCCTCTGCCATTTTGTTTTAAGGTGTGTGTCATATTATATATCTCCAAGTTGTCTCCAATTAGTCACAGAACCAAAGTGAGGTCAAAATGGCCTAATTGGACGGCTGAGGAAATCAAGTGTGTCGCATCTGCCTAGGGCTGGACCGAGCGCAGGATTTCACTGCGGCTGAGCGATGCAAATAAAATAAAACCCGCCATCCATGGCTGGAAACTAACAGCACCAGCACAGTGTGTTTTGAGCCGTTTGTCTCACATGATGAACCACGCTTTTTTTGTTGGTCCTAAACTATTCCACCCCCCCCCCCCAAAAAAACTTGGTCCTATCCCAAGACCAGAATGAAAGGCAATTATTTTAGGAGATAGGTGGTTCGTGTGTAAGGTGCTTGGCAAGGAAGAGGTTTATTTTTAGCAGCATTTTTATGTAAGTGACTAACATGTTGTGGAATAATGAGGGTCTCTCTGGGCCCTCGGTGGAGCTACAGAGACGGGACTCAAGCAGCAGAGGGTGATTGAAGGAAGCTAATGAGCAGGAAGGGAAAAAAAATAAGAGGAGAAGAAAGGAGTGGGATAATAAAAGCACGGAGATACAAAGGAAATATAACAAATACCAATGGGATGTTTCTGTAAGACAGTAGTGAGAAGACAAACAGAGATGGAAATGGGGGAGGAGAATTTCATTGTGATGGGGGGCTATTATTATCATGGACAAGAATAAAAAGACCACTGGCATGAGAAAACACTGTTTTATTTGATTGGTGGAATTTTTACCAGAATAAAGGACGGCGGGTGAGCGTTCCACCGCTGTGAATTACGAGCCAAATACTGCTTTACAGCTAACGTCCAAATTTACTCATCATCTCTTTACTCATCTCATCTTTTTTTTCCACTCGTGGATTCATAGTCAGCTCTCTTTTTATTTCTGTAACAGAGAATCGAGCTGTGAAGCTATTTCAGGTGCATAATGCACTTAAGTGCTGTGACTCACCAAAAACGCTACAAAACTACCCTCCTCTAGATTTGAAATCATCTCTTGTTTTTCTTTGATATCATTTACAACCCTGTTCTCGCTCATGCACACACAACACGCACTCTCACGAGTTATCCGGTACCTCTTCTCAGGAGGGGGCTCCTGATTGGCCGGCGGTGCTGCCTGCGCTGTTTCTTGCAGGTCAGGGATATTGGCAAAGTCATCTTGCTCGGCCACACCAATGGCCAAAGCCAGGACCACCATCTTCCCCTCACTGGCTCCCCATCCAAAAAAACATACGACAAGAGATAGAGACAGACGGAAAGAGAAAGAGGGAGAGAGAGAGAGAAAGGCGAGAGGAAGGAAAACAGATGCAAAGGAGGATAGAGGAAATTGAACGTGAAGAAGGTGTGGTGCAGGGAGGAGAGAAGAGAAGACAGGTAATTCCAGGTGAAAACGGGGACAGAAAGCAGAGGAGCTGTGGGACAATTAGAGACACGTATGAGAGTAAAACACAGGAAGCAGTAACAGAGCAAAAAGGGGGGGAATCTGCAAAACCACATTAAGAGCTGAGCAGTGTGAGCACTTTGTCCAGGGAAGGATATTAAAGTGAAAGGCCAAACGAATAAGAGCCTAATGATTTTAATGAAGTGGGGCTGTCAACAGGTGCAGGCTGTGTTCACATCACACACACAACAAATAATTAAGGGAACTGTTGGTGATTAGTTAATGATTGTTAATGGATGTGATCTTCAGCAGCCTGCACACAAGTCAAAAGTATGTACGGGCCCACACACACACACACACACACACACA